AAGGTTCTGTATTGTAATGTACTGTAATGCACTATACTGTAATGCACTGTACTGTAATGTACAGTACTTTACCATAATGTACTGTAACATACAGTACTGTATTGTAATGTACTGTGATGCACTGGGACACAGTGAATGCTACCATTACAGCCCTTGCCTTTACTTTAAATGTAGACCATCAAAAGCTACTAAAAATCACAACACATATCGATTCGACAAACAAATAATCAATATTGATTCGGGTGGTCTTTGCCAAATCCTATAATTAGTAAAAAGGATGCAAATTGTCGAATAAAAACAAGCAATGCAAGGCTGCAGAGACCTACAGCAGCAACTGGTGACTTTTGAGGAAAAATGGGTGGGGGGTGTGTCTTTAGAATAGTGCCTGGACAGGGGGACACTCCAGCCCCTCCCCCATCTGACTATCCTGTGCTGACCCTTCCAGTCCCTCCCCACTGACACTGCAGGTGTGTGGCAGCCAGATCTCTGCACACAGCTCTGCTGCCATGTAACAATGGGCTGATGCACAATGAGGACGTCCGAGGCTCATTTAGAGAAGCTAGCGCACGAAGGGGAAGGTGTACAAAGGGACTGACCAATGCACGGAAAGAGAGACAGAGAAACAGACAGAGAGAGACAGACAGACAGACAGTGAGTGAGAGAGAGAGAGAGAGAGAGAGAGAGAGAGACGGACAGAGAGACGCTCGGCCCGGTCAGTGCTTAGGCTCTGCAGGATATGATCCTCCCTAACCACAGTCAGAGAGCTTCAGCTGCTGTTTCTCTTATTCATTTTAATAAGGCCTCCTGTTTGCAGGGATCACTGGACGAGCAACAACCCTCATCACACTGACAGCAGCCACATACATGCTCGTGCAAGAGTCACGCTGTTTCACGCCGACGTGCCGTGCCAGCAGGTGGCCCCTGCATCCATTCAAGCAAATTCAGCCTGAACGCATCGCTATTTCACGCTCGACCCTTAACAAGTCGCCCAGTTAGGCGACACCTGTGCTGCCTCGCCTCTGGGCCGCACCACGGCGATGGCAGGGAGCAGCATCTCCCCCCTCCGAGCAAACGGCCATGTGCTCTTCCTCACTGCGGCTCTGAGCCCGGAGAAAAGGCGTCTGTGAGTCGGCTCTTCAGCGCCCCTCTGTGGCCACCCTTCCTCGCCATGGCGTTCGTAAGACCACTCCAACACAAGGGTAAGCCACCGCCCCCCCCCCCCCGCCAAGGGCGGGGGGGGAGGAGCTGGTCACCATGGTAACACCATAGAGAACATTATAATTAGGGATGGGTTTAAAAACATGTGGCGAGCTGAACCCCCCCTCCGATTCACATCATGGGTGTGCAGAGACACACTCCAGAAATGAGCATAAATGTAAAAATGCTGCCTTACATATTGACACAAAGCAAGAACGTGGCGACGGACTAACCAGCCTCAAGGTGAGCAGCCTGGTGTCTGGCCTTGGTGGGGAACTTCTGATGTGTGAAATCTGCTGTGACTGTCAAAGCTCTCATCGTAGCTGGATCAAATCGCCAGCCAATCAGCAGACCTCTGCTCACTCCCAATTTTAGATCAGCAAAAGCTGAAATGGCGAAGTATGACCTTGACATTTAACCCTAGACCCCTTTCCGGGCCTGTGTGTGTTGGCTGGGTGCTTCGGCGTGTCGGCGACACCACCGTGGTGCAGTTGGGCCATCTCTGGGAGCCTGGTGTGAGGAAACCAACCACCCGCAAGAGCCACACACACGGCAACTTCCTCACATCGTGTCAGAGACCAGCCCCCCCCCCCCTGTCACAATGCAGCCTGCCAGCTCGGCCACAGGTCTGGTCCGTTTCGGGGTTCACCGGCAAACAGTCCCCATACAGCTGAAACCTGACAAGCTGTGCTGCTGCAACACAGCTCTGTGGGGCGGCGATTTCTCTCAGCAGGTAACGTGTGCAGACTCAGACAGACGCACACAGGACACGCAGATGCAGACAGACACAGACAGGTACATGTGCATACACACACACACACAGACACCAGCACCAGGGGGCCGCGGTCGTCACCAGCACGTTGCTCACACGTCCCACAGGAAGCTGCTGTTCACAGCTGGATGGGCAGACGCTCAGGAAAGGGTGTGTCTGTGCCGATAAGGGGAGCCTGGGGACATTCGGCTGGCCTCCACCACCCAAGCGGAGGGGCCGCCAGGCTCAGCATTCCGGTGTTTATGGGTAAAAACGCTCATCAGTGTGCTGAGACGCCTTCAGGGCAAGACTCCCCCTACAGACTGCGAAGCGGCTTCATGGTCATTCCCCTCTCTGCCTGCTCCCCCCCATGCTCCCAGCCTCACGCTCACTCTCACTCCGTCCCAACGGCCCACAGCAGAGCAGGAAATCCCACTGCCCCCCCCCCACCCACCCCCAAAACAGGAAACAGTTTCTGAGTGGCGTAGTAGTGATAGGACACCGGGAAGTGAGCTGTCAGGGTGCTGTCCTCGCAAACCGGTGCACATGCACACACACGCAGTGAAGACAGGGCAGGAGCGAAAGGGCAGCGAACAATGGGAAACTGTGCTGGGAATACAGGAAGTGCTGGGAATACAGGAAGCCAGGTGTCTCGGGAAGAACGACTTCCTTTTTCCACATGATGTCATCATTTCCTTTAGAGAGACGAGGCAAACAGAGAGGGGGAGAGAGAATGAGGGACAAAGTGTAACAGGGACCCCTCGCAGAGCACAGGGGTTCGAAGAGGCCCGGGATTGGCTGCCGGAACAGAGTGACTGGAGGGTTTTATAATGTCCTCAAAGTGCCACATATAACAACAAGAAGTCAAATGTAATCGACAGCACCTTCCAAGGCCACCACAGCCGCTCGGTACCGCAGAGAAAGAACAAGGCTATCAGAATAAAACTGAATTTTAAAAGGCAGACCCAGATTTAACGTGTAGTTACTCAGAGAGCACACACACACTACAAGGGCCATTTACACAGCTGACATAAACTCCTGTCAGCATCCTTAAAGCACTTCTGAAGGGATCCCCACTTTCTCCAAGATGGCACACAGGAAGTAGACAAACCACCTCCCCCACCGCAGAAACCGCCCCCACCCCCACCCCCCCCGGCAAGTCGCCCGACAGCCGAGGCGATTCGCAGAGACCCAAACTCTGCATGCCGTTACAGAAGTACAACTTGACCGCAGTGCATTTCAAAAAGAGGCTAATATTACATCAGCCTGAGAATTCACACTTTTCTTCATCCATCCATCGCCCAGCACACGGCGAGCCCAGAGTCCGTGCCAGCAAGTTCAGGGCACAAGGCTGGGGACTCCCTAACCAAGATGCCGGGAAACGTACGCTGATAACCACAGCCGGTACAAACATAGCATGAAGCAGTGAGAGAGACTCTGTGCTCACATGTCAGCCACTGGCAGTAAATGGTACTTAATGGTACAACAGCGAATCCCCAGGCCTGACCATCCGGGTTCTCAGCTGTCTTTGGCACTGAACTTGCACATGGGCTGTAATCTGAGAGCTTCTCAATCAGGGGACTCCAGGTCCCTCCCGGCCCTACATACATTCTTCAGTTTTGTCAAAGAAAAAAAACTAAATAAAGGTCAGGCTTCATCTACCACCACAATTCAATACCCAGCACCCTACCGCTTCCGATACAGCTGGGTGGCTCAAGTGAGGAAGTGACCTCTCAAGGAAACAGGAAGTGAGGCGACTCAAGGCTAAACTGTCACATCATGCCTTCTGTCCTGTGTTACTGTTAGCGCTCATGGCCTTGCCAACCACCAGCACTGGGGTCCATTCTGCTCCTCAACTGCATCTCCATTCCACCCTTAAGCTGCAGCATCCTGCATCCTACCCCCTAGAGCCACAGATCAGAGGGACAGCAGATCCCTGCAGCTGGACAGGAGGTGCACAACTTAAGCAGATCTGTCCAGCCCCACCGGGCACGACTGGGGGAAGTGCCATGACCTGGTAAAACCACCTCATCATGACTGCAAGCTGCAGCTTTCAGTTTGAAGCTTTCTACATATTTCAGCGCAATGTGTTCCTCAAAATTCAGCCCAAAAAGACCTTCCTGTCAGCTGGCAGATAGTGGCTGCTGCTGACTGGGTGTTATAGGTCCGCTCTGCCCGGCAAAGGGCGGACGCCGGCGCACACAAGCCCTTTCAGCTCCACAGATCCTTCTGCATCACATTTGTAGTTCTGCACACTGAGTTACTGTGTATTCTGCATATAATGAGCTCCCTTTCAAAATACAATATTGAATGCTCGAATTTCCTGACGCCATTCAAGATAATATAATCCTAGGGCACGGTACAATTACTGCATTTAATGCAGTGAATAGTCATGTCACTTCGCGTCCGCTCAGCGTTTGCGCCCACTATTTTGGTCTTTTTTTATTATGACAATACTTTATAATCATAAGTTACTTCAAATTCACACAAAAAATTACAGCATTTAAGAAAAAGTCCTAATGGACTTCCAATAAACGATCGAAGTTAATGATACCCGCCAAATTTAAGAGTTGCTGTGAAGTTTAAAAACTTTGCGCAGAAGCATTTGTTTTAGTTGCTAGTGTTCAGAAATCAGTGCGAGTATTAAATCAGCCAAAAGTAGTGAACAGAGAAGGTGGGTGTATTATTTTACATACACGACCCTTAATCGGATTTCGTGTAAACTTTCCCCTCGGCTCGTCACGGCGCCCTGCGGGGGGGACACGGACCGAGAGGCATTTGCAAAGAAAGTTTTGCTTTTTAGAAAAGGAAACCTTTAAGAAAAAAACTACAAACTGCTCTAAACAAATAAGATCAAAACTTAGCGACTGCCGTTGAATGTATCCGGCTCCCTGCGCTCTCAGCGCCGAAGGGCGGAGAGCCATAAGTGCCCGTAACACTTTCTCATGAATGCTGAAAAAACCGCAGAAACTGAAACATGAAACACCAAGGCACGGATATACCCCCGCTTTTCGTCCCCCGTGCATATAAATCAACCCTTTTAATGTCTTACCTCTGAAATTATATGTCTTTGACAGACGTCTCCGGCCACCGATGGGGGGACGCGCCGGCAAGGAGCGTGTCCACGCCGCCGCGGGGCAGGTGCGGGTATGAAGCGATGCTGCTGGGCGCGGATACTGACTGGCTCTCTGTGCAGCGCCGCTGCCGGCGACTCCTCTCCGCCCCCGACCACGACCCCGCCCCGAGTCCCGGGCCGCCAGTCACAGCAAAGGCACCCAGCTCATTCAAATCGGCGTGAACGCAAGTGCCTGTCTCAGTGCTGTCTTGGTGTGTACCCGGTTCTTCATTTATTAAGAAAAATTAAAGCAAGTAGTTAAAGATACTTTATCTGATTCAACGCCAGTGATGCTGCCCAACAATCATTCTTGGCTACTTTGATCGGGACAAAGGGAATTAAAGACGGTGGTGAGCTAACGCCTATAACCAGAAAGAGCAGGACAGAGAACAGGAAGGACTCGATGTCGCAGACTGCCAGATTCTGCGAGAATGATTAAGAGAGAAGTGAGACTGGACACATTCTTAGAGCTATTTCCTCCCTGTTCTGCGGGTTTTTCCCTTTTTCGGAAAGCGCATTTGTTTAACAAGCCACTTTTTCCCGTATACTCGGAAGTACGGTACAGCGGCCGCTCTGCCGAGCGCGGCTTATTGTGATAGTTACCTCCCTCTTGTGGAAATGTAGGCAAACTACAACTAAAATCGCTCGCAATGTTATTCATATTTCACAAGACAGGACACAGTGGTCAATTCTGCTGCTTTTTAATAAAATAATGTCTGTACAAAATAAATCAGAGTAACATCACCAGATTCACAGAAATAGCAAAACAAGGTTACTTTTTTCCCCTCGATAACTCTCCAACATCCACAAACGCCGGTTGCCTTAAGTAGTTCGGCTCATTGCTGGCTGCGGCCAAACCGGGAGGTCAAGGGGCATTCTCACATTGTAAGAGTTCACATGACACCCTGAGACGAAGATCCCTGAACACATTAAATAAATACTGAGAGAGATATTTAAAACAAAGGCAGTAACAGTGTGGGCAGGAAGCCAGAAGCGACGCGTAAACGGAGTGATAGTTCTCCATTCAGCTCACGGCCGCGAGGAAGTAACTCTGACAGCAGCAGCTGAAAGTGGTGACAGCTGGCAGGGGGGGGGGACAGTAAGGCGGCCCTTCCAGCAGGGTATATTTCAGAGATTACTTCCAGTTCAGA